ACCGTTTTAATTTTATTTATCTTTTTTAATTCCCCAAAACCTCGTGTGTAAGTCCTACATTGAATACATAAAATGAAACAATTACATTGCGAATTGACATTTCATTTGTAATCGGAACTAAACCAATACTTCTATTAAGTATTGTAAAAAAATAGGTAAGATTTATTTACATTTAATTAACATTTTAAGCATTCTAATTATGACGCAGTCTGATCCGTATACTCAATATACCAGTAATATTTAATTAAAACCTGAAATAATATTAAAGTTATATTCTATATTTTTGGGCTGCAATCTGAAAAATTGTAGACCTATAAATTTCCACCGTTGTCCTGTCTGTCTATCTGTCTGTCTTTCCGTGATCTCGAGAAAGGAGTTAGATAGATTGAAGACGAGAACAAATATGGAAACCTTAGGGGCAGGAGACCCCATAACTATATAAGAACTACCGATGCAAACCGGAAGTCACGTTATTTTAATTCAAAACTTCCCCTGAAAGCAATTAATAGATGATTGGCACGACTTTATTGTTAAAGGAAAATTATGATGTACAGTACAGGGGCAAGGTGCTACTAATTTGAGGTGGAGAGCATATATGTTAAATTAAATAAATTAAAAATATGATTAAAAATTGCAGCCCGGCATTGTGATGATGTCACAATAAATAATTGCTCGTTAAGAATTACATTATTTTGATAGGAATTAAAACAATTAATAACCTTATAAATTTTTATTATATATATATATATGTATATAAAGTATATTTGTTATTTTGTATTTAGTAATATTTTAAATATAATATATTAGTTATCAATTATTTTATTTTCAAGTAAATAATAAATATTATGAAGAAATGTTTGGTAATAGCAAATATTTTTATCTATAAAAAATTAGAGTTTCAAAAAGAAATGTGTTAAGTTAAGTTATCGAGCGTCGCGGAAATGACTCCACGCCAAGTAAAAAGTCACTCACTGATTATATATATACAGGAATCAGAGTTTACGATTTTCAAAGGCCGGTTTCTTCGCCCCCCAAAGACCTATAGTAATTCTGAATATTTCGTTCGAAAGATAACTGTTTTCTTAGGTAATGTTAAAATTTTCAGAGTTATCTATAAAGGAGTTGCCGAAATATAAGCAATCGAAAAGTGCAAAAATCGCTAAAAACGATGAATTTTTTTCCGGTAATGCAGACGCTCGTACAGAAAAAACTACTAAGTCTAGAAAGCTCAAATTTTAAACTTAAGCATGTGTCGTTATCACTGAGATGTTGGCAAAACTTCCGGTTCGATAAGGTCAAAGTTCACGGAGTTTTCCATGGAGCTATTTTATTTTTATAGCTAAATTTTATGCTTATAAGGATAAAAATTATATCGAAACGAATGAGTTTTATTCAAAATATTATTCAGAATAACAAAAGCTCAAATTTATTCCAATTAAAACTTTTTGTAAGCATTTTACTAAAGGTATATTGAAAGTATTCGGTCGGCGGCCGTCGTCATCGTCTTGGGTCTCGACGTAATAACGCAATATACGGTAAACTACGTTAATTTATAAACTTAAGTGACGTAAACATAGATAACGTCATCGTTTCGTCACAGCATTGTTTTACGACGTCATTGTATAAATATATAGAAATCCATGCAATATGCAATATATCCATGCAATAGACGTAAGAAATAAAAATTGTATAAAAATAAACAAAAAACATTTAAGACGTTTTTTTTTTGGATAATAATAAGTAGATATAATTCGTTTAAAATGCTTCCAACAAAGCTGGCGCTAGATTTTGGCGTCAAATGCATGTTGCCCTGGCCAAGGCATGCATTTAACACCCTTATCCCACTACATAAAATTAAAGAATTTTATGTAGTGCCTTGCGCCGTTTAATATAAATATAAACATTTTTAAAAATAATACGCCTGAAATTTTGTATCAATTTATGGGCATTTGTATAAATGTATGGCCAAACTGGGCATTTGCCCAGTTTGCCCATACGGTAGCACCGGTCCTTGCTTCTAGTGATAATTTTATTTAGTAACGATTTATGTTTAGTGTATATCAGTTTTCAGAGTCATTAAATAAAGAAAAAAATAAGTAAATAAATAAAGGAAAAATGTAAAATCTGTAAGAAATATTTGCTCATTTTTTATTAATATTTTTAGACATTTGAAGAAATTTAATATCGAATCTCATTATGTAAGTACTTTAGAAAGAAATTCTTTTTGTTGTGTATTTATATATATTTTAACTTCGAAGAAAATGGTGAATTGTCAAAAGTTTTAAATTATATTGAACGAAATTACTGGAAATTTTATTTCTTTATAATTATTTCTTTGGTATTTCGTTAAAACATGACATTAAAAATTAATAGTGGCGTTTAAATAATTACTAAAGTTATTAAAACGAAATTAAAATGACATCAATTACAGGATGATTGTAGGTGTAAATGTCAGGGAATTTCTCGGGATAATCTAAATTAAACGAAAAAAAACCGGACGTGAAAATAAATAGAAATAAAATAATTAAATAATCATAAAACTTGCGACGTTTACTATTCAACAAAAAAAAATGCGTAATTTAAAAAGAAATTAAGTCATTTACAGGAATTTTGATACGGGTTCAAATTAAGAAAACAGATTTTTGGACTAAACTTTGACGTAAGAAATAATGTTAAATTGTTTTAATTATTCCATTAATAATTAGCAAATTAAAAAAAATGATTAATGTTTAGAAAGTCATTTATTCAATCATTAAAAATGTATTTTATGTCTTTAACGGTTAGAAAAATGTCTCAGAAGAAAGATATTTCTTCTTGTTTTTGATCAGTAAAATGAAAAATTAATCTTGAAAAATGTTTTATTTGAAAATTCGAGAGGATGAGCAAATATCAGTTGATAACCTTATTCAATGTCAAGATTTTTAAACTCCTAAATTATCGTTTTAAAATTAAAGGAATAATATAATTAGTTTACTGATTAAAATAACTTATACTTGTTTTAAGTAGAAGTTATTTTATTAATCAAATTAAATATTTAGATATTCAATTCATCGTAGAAGAATTATTTGAGTTGTCAATAGTGTTGTCCATAATATTCATACTACATTAAAAAAAACTAAGTTAAATTCTAAATGTTTAGACTAAATATTTTACTGTGACACGAAATAAAGATCTAAGAGCTTAAAAAATAAATTTATTTTACATAAAAATAATTATTTAAAAGACATTTTTACGAATTTCCTTTATTCTTCCTTTCTTAACAATTAAAAAACATCTCCTAGGAGAATTTCATTGAATTATTTTTAAACTTTAAGATATTTTCCTCTGAAAATATAAAAAAATTAATAAGGAAATTTATTGTTTCTGCTGATAATGTATATTAAAAATAGAAATTTTCCAACTTGAGAGAAATCCCATAATTTAAGAAAATAGGTGTGGTTAGAAACAATTTTAAGAACTTATATAATTTTAATACTCAAAATAATAAATTAAATAAAATAAATTTAAAAATTATTCAAATATATTAATTAATA